CGTTTTCAATAATTTTATTTGTCTACTCTTTTGCGTGAATATTTAACCTTAAATTGAGAAAACGTTTCAAAATTTTAAAAGCGATATTGTGGCAAGATGGGAAATTATATTTAAAGCAACTTTATCTGTCAGAAAAGTAACAGGCGAACATATATTAAGAAAGGCATTGATATTTGCACGAAATATAGTTTATACTTCGCGCAAAAATACGATTGCTTTTTTGGATGGGTGGCATAAATATTGGGTAAAACTATCAATTTTCAAATATTTATCAGGTGTGTAAGACCTGAAAAGAGTTAGTAACGATTGTGGGCATTCATCGGGATTGAAACTTTCCATAGAAACAAACAAACAATTTAAACCCCGTGTCTTTATAGGGTTCCCCCGAAAACATCAAGGCTAATTTTTCACTGTTGGATATCGATAAAATTACAATTAAGTTTTATCAACGAGAACGTAGAAGACATGATGGCGTTCCTGACATCCTGCCAATAATAAGTTGATAAGAGATGCAACACCAGTCGCGGCGGCTGGTTTTTAAATTTTGTACCTTATAATGTACATGCTTCGATGAAATTTATTAGGCCGCACAATGTGCTAGCCATGAGATCGTTTACATTATATAATGTTTGGAGCAACTGTTGCAACAGCTCGTTAAATCATGAAACATTTTTTCGAGAAAATTCATTTCATCAGCTTCTGGAATGATTAATGTAAAAACGCAGGCTTTAAACTTTCGGCATGGTGTGAACAGGTCAGTTCAAATAATACCTGATTTAAACGTATGCATTAGGTTAATGACGTTTCACACTTGCGAAGGATAGCGATATGTTTTTTTCATACAGAACGTTGCTACGTTGCGACGTAATTGCGTAACGAAGTAATTAGGTAACGTTGTTGTTTTACTCAAGTTTGCGCAGTGGACATGTCAAGAATTGGAGAACATTGAATGAAATAGCTTATACAATTTTACTGGTGCAAGATAAATTCTATCTAATGTCGAAAGCTATCTTTAACTTCTGCAAATGTGTCGATGTCATATTAGGTTAAAACAAGAACAAATCGAAGTTTTTGTTATTCAATTCAAATCTTTTCAAAAAAATTCCACGATATTCAATTTTGCAGATTTTTTATGATAATCACAACATTTTATCTCCATCTCATAATTATAATTAGTCTCCTAAATTGTCTTTCAAACAATATAAAACTTATCTGCATCTAATATAAGGTTCGTGAGATATGAGGTTTCAAAGTTGCATAACTCACACGGGGTGATAAGATAACTATCGCAACTTTCACGAAACCAGTATGATTCCATGAGGCAAATAGCAAAAGAAAAATGATGAAATTACCCGAATAAAATGCAAAACAGTAAAAAATCTTCAAACAAATTGACGAACGAGACCTTCTGGCGAAGCTAAAACAAACCGACGCTGTCGCGTTCCCGCGATTTTTTGGACACAAAATGGCGTCCGATATGCATCATTGCTCTCTCGCGGGAACCCTTCCTTCCGCATACTCGGTGCCCAGTGTCGCGGATCATAGCGTCTGCGTTTATATTGTGTGTACAGTATATATATTTTTATGTTTATAGACTGTTATGTTGACCCTTGTTTATTGCTGTTTTGTCGGATCTGAACTCCGGCCACTCACTACACGTGAGAGAAAAACTGTGCCTTTCGATCTCTTTTCTCCAGCTGCCGCGCTGGCTGCCTGTCGTGTTTTTAGTCTTTAATGATGTAATCTGTTATGCTGTTTAAAGGGATATTTTGTATTGTGAAGTTACAATAAACAACCAATCCGGAATCCTCGAGTCTTCTGATTCATTTACAACTACAGTAGCAACATCTTTTTTGTTACCGTGACACCCAGCACTGCATTTCATTACGCAAATATATGGTATAAATTTATGACCGGCACATTATTTGATACTCTTTGATTTGATACTCTTCGTGTGAAATGTTTTAAAGTGTCTGGAAGCATATTGAGTGCCCGGCATTGCATTGTATTACGCAAATATATGTTATTCTTTTCTGTTCCAGTCATTTCAATTTTTGCCGGTCTGCGAGTACATTTAATTTAATCTTACAGCTCCGCCAGAGTAAAAGATTGGGAACCACTGGGTTAGAGACTAGAGTATGGTGATTTCGTGATTAAATTCTTGTTAGGGACACTGTGATATACGGCATGTCTCACACTTGTCCTGCTTGTATCAGGAATGTTCTACTTGTCCCGCATTTCTTTTAATCATCTGTCACTTGTCAGGCTCTTCTGATTGTACCACACTGATTTGCTTGCATCAAATTTGCCCTGTTTGCCCCAAACTTCTACTGCTTTTTCCACACATGCACTGACAGCCCCTTGTAATGCTTCAAATACTTGTTGAGAACGCCGTGATTGCCTGCTTGTCTCGGAAATGTCCTGCTTGTCCCAACTTTGTTTTGCTTATGTAACATTTGTCATGCTTGGATAACACTTTTTCTGACTTCTCACACTTGTCCTCTTTTTCCCATATTTGCCATGCTTGGCACGCGAGCCCATGTATTCGGCACGCGAGCGAGGCCTCGGAAACGAGATCATTCTCCTTCAGATAACAGGTTTCAAAACTCTGAATTTTCTGATGAAACTCAGTGTTCGTTTATTCATTATGGTTTGTTAACAATCCGTTATTTATGTTTTTAGTGACTCTTTCATGACATATGGCTACAAAGAAATATATTATGACGCTCTCGAGAAGGGCGCTGCATTCATTTTGCGACATTTTTACATAATATAGTTCGTCTGTACCACCATTTTTGATTCATTTCTGCTTGATTTATGTAGTTGTATAGCTCATGTTTGCTATAGTTACTTGCTAACTTACTGTTATAAATTGACTTCGAAAGAATCATAAGCGATTAGGGAAGGGAATATAAGAGAGGAGTGTAGAAAACGAACTATTGCTTGATCGCGATCAAAGACTCTTTGATTGGGATGCCATTGCCGAAAATTTTTTGTGTCTTAAAAACTTTGCAACTGCGTTATCCTCCATGTTTTTATTTGACTTGCCTTCTCAGTCAAAATCAGTGGACTCGGATGTTTCTCTTCGGCGAATACGATACCATCGTATGAGTGGTTCTCAGTTATGAACTTTATTGAGTCTCGTAATAGGAGTAGCCTGAAGATGAAACCAGTAGTTCGTGTATTTCTCTGGAAGTTATAAAATATAAACTCAATGTAAAACCTAGCTCTATCAGCGGTAATGCAGCAGTAGTAGTCTCACTGATATAGAATAAGAAAAGTAATCATCAGTCGGACTGATATTTTCCCGATTAGGAATGTCTGTTTATTATTGTGTATCTCCGCTTTGAAAGTGGCAAAGCATTATTTTCAATTTTGGTCGGCACGCAGAACAATTTTGTCGGTAAATTTAGCCGATTTTAGCACGCGAGCTGAAAAAGTGGCCCTAGGCTCATCATATTTTAATACCATAATAATAATTTGTTTATTTTAATCCATTTGAGTATATTTGGTCAGCATTCACGATTTTTTTCAAGAAAGCCCCGAATTAGGTTAGTTAGAGTATGGTGCTTTGGTGAATAAATACTCATTAGGGACACTGTGATATCCGGCATGTCTCACACTTGTCCATCTTGTATCAGAAATGTCGTACTTGTCCCACATTTCTCCTAGTTACCCATCACTTGTCAGGCAAAGCTAATCAGCTGTGGAATTCAAATTTTTTGTCAGCCGGTTCCACACAAATGTCGTATTTTCAGCCGGTTCTGTTACAAAAAGTCATGTTTTTTCAGTAATGCTAACCGGTTCGCTGATCTCATGCAATTCCGCGAGACGGTTCCATAGAACCGGTGCGAACCGCCTGAATCTCACTACTGCAGCTAACCCTTCTTCTGATTATACCACACATGTCCTGCGCTTAGCGTACTTGTCGTGTTTGTCCCCTACTCCTCTTTCTTTTTGCACTCTTGTTCTGATAGTTCTCCTGTAGCCTAATGCTTGTTTCAAACTTGTCCCACACATGATCTGATTGTATTAGGTATGCACTAAAACCTGTCCTAGCACAACACGAATATGAAATGATACTTTTGCGCCCAGAGAAACATTGCAAATGCATGGATCTGGGGCAGATACTTGGATAACTATTCCCGTACTAAATAAAGCCGTTGTTCGACACACAATTGATGAGTTTTATCGAATTTCTCTCCATTTGGACAACTTGTTGAAAAAAAAAACGGCTCCATAAATCATACAACAAAGAAAGCTAATCAAGCGAAACAAGCGCTTTCAGTCAACGAAACAAATAGTAAGCTGGCGGGAACTTGGAAAATCCGTTTGCCAACGAAGCCTGACATATTGCGGTTCTTTAATCTGGGCGTCTCTTATTTCTATCCAAGTTATGGTATGTACGGTACCGGTACCGTACTACAGACAGACAGATGAGTATCAGGATTGTAGAATTGAGTAACAAAAAACTTTGCAGGTTTGTCAGAGAGTACTGGAGTACGGTATCGTCTGAAGGCAGGCAACCTTTGCCATGTAAAATAATTAGGTATTTCAGTATTTAGGACGTTTATAGCATGAAAATCGCGGGGTTAGCATTGCTAGTCTGTAAGTTCAGATTTAATGCAACAAGAACGAAGTTTATCGCAATCTGGGTAAACCCCATTACGGTACCGTACCGTACCTACCGGTACGGCGGTACCGTAGTCCGTTACGGCCTCCTCCACCATCAGACCATCAAGTTCATGCTATGGAAACAAATACCACAATACAGGTAACTACGGTACGGTAACTTATCGCATACCGTACCTACAGAACCCGACATGGAATGATAACCGGACAAGAGGCCGTGGTTCCGGTTCGCCATATGGTGAAGCGGTCTTATTGCTGTATTGACTCTCCCCCAGGATAAATATAAGTAAATCCTGCTGTAATGTCTGAATGCTGGAATGTATCATACCATCCTTCAGTTCGGGATTGGAGTATTTATTTACATTCTTTATTGTTGATTTTTTAATATAATTAGGTTTTCAAAAAACTATTAAATTGGAAACTCATTGACTTAACTCACAGAACAGCAGAATATTTTGTATTTATCACTTTTCTGAGTTGGATTCTGTGCTTTCTCCGATCTGAAGACTTGAAAATGGGGGTAAGATTTTTGTATCGATCTTTTCTATATTTATTGTTTCAGCTAACTGTGCAGTTTACTCTATTCTAGTATTGTCAGACTCCTAAATCAGTACGGCACACTAAATAGATCGAGCGACATTGTCTCGTTTCAGAGAAACCCATTTTACAGATGCTCAGATACCCCTCCTTCGGGAGACGTCTGGACATTGTTGTCCCTCAATATCGGTAAAATTTATACCGTGGCATTCGAGAGTTTTTAGTAAAAAACGGAAATTTTGGTCATGTGACGGCCGCGATTAATTTAGATTATTATTGAGACAAGCATGGCGTGATATGACGCATCTGACGTGCTGCCAGACACCCCTCGTTTGTGAGACACATGGAGTGTTTGTTTTATTGAACCCAATGGAGGGAAATTCTTGGAATTTGGATAGTGTGCCGTACTGTAAATTCAGAAATTATGCAAATACAGGAATGTATTTTTATTGATTAAGCTATAGGCAGTACTGAAGCATAGCGTCTTCCCATTATGAGTTTCTTCTGTCTGTGGTATTTTGTAGTAATTTCTGTCTTCCCATTATGAGTTTCTTCTGTCTGTGGTATTTTGTAGTAATTTCTGTATTGAAATGATATTCTGAAAATCAATTGTTATACTATAAATTGAATTGTTCTCATCCAACCAATTGTTTAATATTGAGCAATGCATTTTTTATCTAATAAAAATAATAGGTGAAAATGTATATCGTCTTTCTTTCAAAATTAAATATTCTTATTTGTTATGCAGATGCTCAGGAATGCACAATTTGGTGGATGAGAATTATTCAGATCTTCTTTTATACCATTTTCATCGTGATGGAACACCCAAATACTAATTTTAAAATGCTGAATATGCTACTTAGTAATACTACTAACAGCCAGATCACAATGTTTGGGAATTTGCCAATAAGTATGCAAGAAAATCAAGTTCCGACCACTTCCTTCCTGTCTCGTCAATCTAAAAAGAGGCACCGAAAGCATCAAAAGAAAGTGACATTTGCGGAATATCACAACCAGCCTGCAACGAAAGACTCATTTGTTGGAACAGCTCCTGATGATTTAGCAGAAACATTATTTGTTGATGAATGTACTAATGTGAAATGGGATGACTCACAAATGATAGAGACAATTCCATTTGAAACTAAAAATATCTGCAATACAGGCATATCAACATGTTGTAATGTAAAGGCTCATCCTATTATTTTAAAAAAACGAGATCAGCCATATCCAGAGCCACTAAAAAATCTTCCCTTTTCACCTTCTCGATTCCTTAACCCAGACACAAATTCCTCACAAAGCGAGAAAGAGAAAGTTACCAGAGATTTGAATCTGTCATTATGTAGTCATCCTGATGACAGTGGCATAGAAACATCTGTTGAAAATGATTTGATGTTCGCAAAAGCATTAACATCTACACCAATTTGTAAAAAATCGCGAAAACGACTTATCACCCCTCTAAAATCTGAAATTGATGCTGTATCACCTCTAAAATCTTCCCATTTATCAGAAAGTTGTTTTTCTGAAGCAAACACAACACTACTCAAGTATAATGAACATACTTCAAATGATTCTGGAAATGAGACGGTTTTCAAGACTCCAGTGATAAGGAAGTATTTAAATGAAAGTGGACCTCGAACTCCCACTCCATTTAAATGCGAAGGTAAAGCATCCGAGAAAGACATGGGAAAAACTTCTAATATTGGCACTTTTTCTCCAGAGAGGTTTAATTTATTCAATGACGATAAACCTCTTCCTATGATTGGTAAGCTCTCTCCGGAAGTAACAAAGCTTGGAACTTTGAGTCAGCGCGTTCATCCAAGATCACTAAAGAAAGCACGTAAAGCCTTACTACTGGATCAAGAATGGTCAGTTCATGAGTCTAAACCACTTGGTGTGATGGGGGTTCAGGATGACATCTCATTAGCTTCTCGATTACCTGATGTTAATAAAGTGGATCATGTAGGATTTATTCCATTTGAATCTCCAATGTCAAGAAGTAAGATAAGAGTTCGCAATTGTAGTAGCTTGGTTGATGATGGCACCGTAGTCGAATCTCAAAAATTCAAAATTGGTCGAAAGTCCTTCTATACATCACACTCTGAAATTGTATCACGGAAAGAAGAAGTTTGTAAAAAGTGGAAATCATCCATTGAATTAAATAAAAAATGGGTGGCAATTGCATGTGGTCATTCAGAAGATCAAAAATCAATGACATTGGCTGCAAAGAATTATTTGAGATACAGTGAACATAATCCAAAAACACTATCTGAAGCTGTTTTAAAAAAGAAATTTTGTCGAAGTACTTTAATGAGATAGGTGTATATTTTAGCGAAGTTCATTGAATAACGTGTGTGGTACCAGTGACAATATACGACAGGCACTGGTGTTAAATAGACAAGTTTTGAGTTTACAAAAAGTTTAATAATTTTTTTGACATGTTTATGTGAAATTGAAAGATTGTTGCAAATAAATGTTTGGAATAGAATCCCACTATTACATTTTCAATGTATTCCTATTAGATACAGTAGTTGAAACATTGAAAATGCGTCACTGGAAGTTAGAGACGATAGGCTTTCTCAGTATCAACAACTATTCACTCATCATGACCCAATTGCCAAGTTTGTGACACCTTTTTAGGTTTGTTTCAATTGCTTCGAATAAGGAGCCAGTGCTGATCTATTAACACTTTTTTATGTTGAATTATAATATATAAAATTATTTTCAAATGTTTGACATCATTACTTGCCATGAAAGATCATTCTTTTTTAATTTTTCTTCTGAAAAAACAGCTCTTGATGAGATGTTATTGTTGTAAATAAAAGGTAATGAACAGTTATGATAATGGATGACACATAACAAACTAAATAAAATAATGGTGAAATATTTTTATTCAATATCAACTAAAAATGAAACTTCAAAACGGAAAGAGCTGTAAGATAAAAAAATTCTTTTGATTCATGTATATCTAGTCGATACCTGCCCCGTGTTAACTTTCATTCTCATAACTAGTACAGATGCGTTCACTAGCATTGGCACACTTTGGTTTTTCTAATAATTCTTGTTTGAGAATAGTTCGTGGCTCATTTTAATATAAAATTTGTGGGCAACGAGCAACATGAGGTAAATATCCTGACAAGAACATATTTCTTTTCTTGATGTCCTTTACGAATAAGCTTGCAACATGTATATGAATAATCTTCTGTTATAATGTATCTTTGTTATTATAGTGTGATTTTGTTGTACTGCATTGACCTGTAATAATTTTGTCCATTTTCTAACTCTTTAACTGAATTTTTTCTAATGTATTCGCTTTTTCACTGCACTATCCTCTATATACTAAACTGCCTTCGCCTTATGACTGCCAGGTAAATTTAATCCTCTAGTGATTCATTAAACGCTGCTTGTATTTTGCATTGATTTCCTACTGCTGATGCCAATATTACGGTCAAATTTTTAAAAAGTTTAAATGTTTCAAATAATGAAAATAGTTGAATATGTTAATCATAATATTTGGAGACTATAATAATTCGAAATATTGTATTATTTATGGTTTCTATATTTTTTCCTAACATTTCAGTCTTGAAGTTTATATCTCAATCATAGGAATTGATTGTTGTTTTGGCTTGTGGTATATGAAACCAGTTGTTTTGCTTTGCTTATGATCTATAATTGTATTCTGGTGGGTGTAATTTCAGTAGTCGCATTTCTAATTTTTGTGGTGTATTTCTTTTAATTGTACTCTAAGTTTTGTGTATTTTTGTGATTCATGCCATGTTGTGATAAGTAGGTATATGTAATATATTTATATTTTTCATTCTTGTGAATAAAAATAAAATGCTTCAGCTTGTAAAATGTGTTCTATGTCTTACTACTAGAATTTGCAACTAGTTTTGATATTATTTAGGTTTCTAATAACCTGACACTGTCGTTGAAATTACAACAATTTTAGTTTCAAGTAAATTAACGGTTTGAAAATAAGATTTGGCATAAACATTAGCTGCAGAGTACTAAGCATTTGAATTCCTCACAGTATTTTTTTATAGAAATATAATGTAATAAACAGATATTTCTTGTTTGGAGTCATGAAAAGGCTTGTGTAATAGAATATGGAATTTATAGGTTTGAGTTTATCACGACAGCTTCTTTCCTCTACACCTCCACGAATAATACAAGCCCAGTGACATACATTCTTCATTAAATTTGATACCATTTCATGACTCTCAATTTTTCACAACAGCGAAAGTCAGCCAAAGGCAAAGAAAGAAAGTTGAGGAGAAAAGAGGTGAGGCCAAATTCTATTTTAAAATATGCAAAAAGAATACCCATAGCAACTAAGATTGGCTTTACCCCAAAGTTGTTTGGAGCAAATTCTGATTAAATTTAAAGAGGCTTGCTTGATTGATGAAGAAGACATTTGCTCAACAAGAGTTATAGCTGTTTTGATTGTGTAACTTATTGCCCACATGTGAGCACAGGCTTTTTATTGCCTTTTTAAAAATATTTTTGCAATTTTATTCCATATGATGTCATCTTGTTTTGCTCTTATTTGTAGGAGAATGAAATCACAGAACACCTTTGGAAATTGGTTGCTGAAGCAAATAAGGTAATACCATCATAAAAGCGCCATATTTTATTTTTAGACACGGGTATCTGTGACCCTAAATGAGGCCTTTGGCAAGCGCCCACTGGTATACATATGTTCTTATAGTGGCTGTAATCTTTCTGGTTTGGCATTGGGAAGTGATATGGCAGGCATGATGTTTGAACCTGATATGTAGGAAGCTAGAAATATTTGATAGTACCGATTTCGTTTCCATATTGCCCAATCAATTTATTACACCATGGGTGAAGTGGGATTTGTGATCTGGGATGCCAACCCAAGTCTAATGCTTCAATCACTAGGCCATCTCACCATACTATTTATTGTTGTTATTTAATCATTTTGATGTACAATTCATGTTCTCATGTCGTTCATTCGTGTTTTGGATGATCCTCGAATTATAGTACTTTCTTTTTAAATTACAGATTGACGATCCGTTAGCACCACTTGTTTCTTTTCAAAAATACAACAAAAATGGTTTAAACCTGACAATATCTTGCCATAAACGTGAAAGCATGGAAGAAGATATTTTGCTTTGGGCACTTAATTTGACCAAATCCAATATGGAGTCATTGTAAGTTCATGATATTTTTTTCCAACATTGCAATCAGGACAGATTTCGTGTTTAAAAAAGAACAACCGCACATGTGTCTAACACATTACAATATATTCCAGGTTATATCAGATATGAAGTATACTAAGTGAGCTTATTTGACACCAATATCTATTCGCAGATACCTACTAAGATGTAAATTTATAATAAGCTAGTAGGTGTGATGATAAAATTGATTTGCTTGCTATACCCTGGGACTGTTGGAAAAGGTGGATTTATCAGGAATAACTTGAATCCGATGTTGATCTGTGATTTCTTTGTCAATCCAGCGGCTAAAATAATTATTTTAAATCAGCGAATGAGTAGTTTTACTTCCACCTTGATGGAATGTCAAAAATTCATCTGTGAATATTGGCTCAAGCCTCAATCATGCAGTGAAAGGTGTGCAGTGAGACAATAAAATTTTATAGTCATAATATATTTCTGAAATGAAAATCACTCCGATTAAAATATGTTATTTTCCGAGCATTGGACACCTGGGTGCTTATTGAATATTTCTGCAACATTTTTTCAGAAATATTTTGAATTCTCCATTTTTTACTTGTTAATCATTAAGATATGAAGAGAGTGGATGGGGTTGGAAAGATCGAGATAAGCTGCAAGAAATGAAGGACGACAACGCTAGATATTTAATTGTAAAGAATGAAGATGAAACCCCTGTTGCTTTCATACATTTTCGTTTTGATCTTGACTATGGTCAACCTGTTGTTTATTGGTATGTTGCTTTTTTTTATACAACCACTGCACCTATTTTTATTCAAAAGCACATTTAAGAATATGGAACTGGTATCAAATTAGTTTTCCTTTTAATGATGTGATATGTCTACTATTTGCAGTTATGAAATCCAGTTGGAATCAGAAGTTCGTAATAAAGGTCTTGGATTTTTCTTGATGCAGATTTTACAACTATTTGCCATCAAGTAAGTCGCACGATGTTTCCACAATTTTCTGTTTTCATTTCAAACAATAATTTATTGCATTTCGAGTGATTTAACTCTATGGTGCATGTCTGGGACAAATCCACATTATGAGTGGAGGAACATAAATCTATGAACTAATTTACATGAAGGTGGAATCACGCATTAAATTGTTGTATTCGTGATTTGTTCATGTAATCTCACTCTGATTTTGTTCAGGGCAAAATGTAGACAAGAAAGAGTCAAATTTTTTGGCTTGGATATGAAATTAAAATGCAATGAATGTGAACAATAATTATTCATCATGATTATTTTTATAACCAAAACTGTACGAAATACAGACAATTAAACTTAGTGTAAATCCTAAATATTATATAATTTGAAAAATAAATTTTGGTCTGCCGTAGTTTGTGTACCAGGTTAGGCCACAGTTTTATTCCGATTTTTCTTATTTTAGTTCTATTACGAGTCCGGGGACTGTCTGTGTTAGCCAAGTGAATATACCCCCCCCCCCTCCCCCGCCCCATAGTTGAGGTGTACACACAATTTGATGTAAAGTAGGAGAATTTAAATTAGTTAACTCCATATTGGTACACACCACTTCTGGAGCGCCAAAATTTTAACATTACATCATTGTACAAATTACATAAAAGCATACACCTACATTTCTTGATATAAAATGACTTTATTTTATGAAAGACAAATTATCTTTCGTATTATTATTATAGGAACCAGTTTATTCAAGGTTTTCTGCAACAATACTTAGAATCAATGATAAATCGATGGACTTTTTCATGAGAAAACTGAAGTGGGTGGTCTTTCTCATATATTTTTATAAAATAGTTCATCAAATAATTCATTTGTAATGTTGATAATGGGGACGTGGAGTTGAGATCACATTAAATTGACCCAAACTTTCAAAAAGAAAGAAATGGTATTTCATATATGCTGGTTTTCAAGCTCCAAATTTGGATTTCTTTGTTCTGGAACTGCAGTTTGAAGGTAAAATTTATGTCGAAATTCCTCAAACTCCACAGTCATAGTTAAGACAAATACAAAGTTATCATTTACGTTTTTCAGTAAGCATGATCTTTTTAGTGCAGTTGAAGATTCATCTGACTAACAATTCAAGAGGTTAATAAAATATGTGTCAGCGCACATACTCTGAGGACAAGGGTTTCTCAAAACTTTTTGGGCGCGGAGGCCCCTGTTTGTGATTTAGTTTGACGGGATTCCCAATCTTACAACACAAACGACATTAATGTAACGGCTGAGGTTGCTTTTCAATGCACAATTTATCAATTCTCGAAGCAATTTGTGACAAAAAAACTCGTAGGTCCAACTCTACGACAAGTCTCCACCGTAGTCTGTATTTTGTCATCATATTGGTAGGAACTGAAAATGCTGCCTCACACGTGTAGGTCCTTGCAAAGGCGATAAAATTTTGATTGCCTTTTCTGACTTTGCGTGTTGACTTAAAATATCCAATTACCTCTATATGATGTTAAATATTCAGAATATATGATACCTTGCACGCAAAATACATATATATTTGAAGAGCACTTTTGGTGCCTATTTAACACAAAAATTAAAAAAAATTATATCTTCAACCAACCACTTGCAGATTTACTGAAGATGAAACCAGTCCAGATGATGAATGCTATATGATAGTGTCGAAACTGGCAAGAGTAAAGACATAGATTGTCTTTTTTGTACATCAACATATCACCGATTAGATTACTTTATTCAGAAGCAAATCATTGTGCATAAACGACATTGTATGATTTTGGAATCCAATAATGTTATGTTGAATTACAGTGACGATTCTCTATACATTAATTCTAAATATGTGCTACATTTGTCCAGAAATAGGCCGAAAAGATGATTGTTCGGACTAACTGCCTTTATTTACTGATGCTAATGCTATTTTGTGCTAAATGTGAATATTTCCTTAATAAAAAAATGAAACCATAGTAAAATATAAGTAGGATCAGTTGGCAATGCTGAGAAATGAGGATCTTTCCTTGAAAGAATGCCTGTGTTCTTGGGAGAATTTCTTTATCTTTTGGATAGTGGATATGCATTAGTGATGAGAATTAACTTCCATTTTACTCTTGGTATAAAAGTGTATTTGTAGCTTTGGCTGCAGTCTTCATCTATTTTTTTTTTATTCCTGGGGACCGGTCGCAGTTTGCCAGAACTCGCACTCTCAAAATGATTGCATCCCATAAGATAATTCAAACATATCAGATACGTTACATCTGATATTATCATTGTTAGCATTAATTATCAATTTTATTATAAAAATAACACAGATGGAAGAAAGAACATAAAACATTGGTAATTTTTTGCACATGAAATAATATATACACAATGAAAGTGCAAGATAACAGTGATGAGCTCAGAATTCATTAGTTTGTCTTCAATTAGGAAGCTTCATCTGGCTTTGCACCTGAAGGTAATTATTACATGATCATCAAAATACTGAATTCTTAAAATTAAAACATAATTCCATCTCTATTGTACAAACAACATAGGAATTGTATCTGAGCATTTCATATGATATATTCTAAGTCAATCAGTAATGCTAATATTTGGCCAAGTTTCACAAATGCTGAAAGCAGAATGTAAACACTCTACTTCTATGGCACAGAAAACATTCAACAAATACTATCTTCGAAGTGCAAATTTTTAATGAAAGTTAAAAAAATATACACAAAAAGTATCTACATGTCTTTTTGTGAAACATTGTCAGTTTCCTTTCTAGTCTGTTCTAATGAACTCTTGACAGCCTCTACTGCAGGACCCCCCTCCGGTTTTGTGAGATCTTTACTCGATCTCCGACTTGATGCTTTACTACCACTTGGGGATGGTTTGGGACTTCCCCCCACTTCATTGTTTTGAGCTCCCACATCGCTCTCATGCTTGGCAGAGCCTTGAGTCGAGCTTCTATTGGAAGATTTACTATTAGGTCGAGAACCTGGTTTTGAATCCTCTCTACTTGTGGATGATACACTTTTTGAGGACCCAGGCCTTGACCCCTCTATTGGCATATCAGTGCTTGAGGGTCAGCTGCCGCGGCCCCGATTTCAGAATCAGCTCTAGACTCCCGGCCTGATTTAGGGGTTTCAGTTTCATCATTATTTGTGGCAGGGACATCAGATTGATCATTTTTTTCCTCTGCAGTATTTTCCGATGTTGGAGCATCTGCTTTATCTCCCTCCTTAATGGAGGGTTGGGGACTAGAACTATCTTTCCTGTCACTATCTAAACCTGACTCGCCTGTTTAAAAATTTAGTTGTATATGCAGAAGTATAACATCAGAAAGGTCCGTTGTTTTCATCGAAGTATTGTAGTTTGCATGGTTTTCCATCAGAGTTTGTTCCATAGTGTTAGTTGATGTTAATTGCAGCAGGCAAAAGTAAAAAAACAAAGCAATTAGAAACATCAAGTGGCCATTCATTCAAAATACAAGGCAAGTTAGAAGGTTAATGCTTTCCATGAAAATTAGTCGTAAATGTGACATAGGACAGCTCAAGGAATAATAATAAATTTGTCTGGTAAGGATGCAATATGCTACTGAGTATGAGAAAGTACACCATGGTACATAAGACGGAAGTTAGACTTATTTCAGCAGCTTTTGGAATAACAATAGTTTTTTTCCATGAAAGCAACTGTAGCTATTTGTTATAAACTGTTTGATGCTTCGGTGCATCATACAGCAATATAAACCATTAATAAATTAGTCACACAGGTAGGATAACGTTGTTAATGCAAGAACACCACAACACGACAGCCAACACTTATTCACACCAAGAGCCATCATCATACCGTCATCACCCTCTTCCCCTGTATTATCATCAGTTGGCTCAGCATCACCAGCTGGCTCAGCTGTCTCTTCTGTAGCTTCAGCAGGATTAGGGGCTTCTAATTTTGGGTATAATAGGAATTAGGACGCTAGGAGCAGTATTGGACATGAATGTAGTTTATCATGTTCCATTAGAATGTCGGAGAATTTTTTTTTAATAAATTCCCAAATGTGGCTAAATAGTGTGTAAAGCCAAATCCCATAAGTGTCATAATTTTATTGTATAAAATGATGGAAAAATAATTTTAGAAAATAGGTCTGAATAATTGGCAAGCTTTTGTCACCACCTTTATGCGCTCAATGGACTACAACAGCCATATTTAATGGAAATGAAGATAAAATCAAATAATACTTCGATTTATATCTTAAATTTATCTCTGTCATTTGGTTCCCACTCCTTGTGCTCTAGCACAGTTCACACTTAAATTCATGGAATACCAAATCAAGCTTTTTTCAAAGTGAACTTGAATTTAAAAAAAGTACCTTCAGCAGGTTTAGTTTCAGTTTCTCCTTCTGGTTTATTTTCAGCATCTTCTTTATCTGGTTGATCAGCGGTTTCCTCTTTTTCAGCTGTTTCCTCAGTTGGTTCAGGAGCTGAGCGATGCACAAATACAGTTTATGATAAGGACTAAATAATGAGATCGGGAGTGCATTGATACTGTGATAATTATAAAACTACGTTAATCTATTTTGTGAAATCTTTAATTTGATATATATGGATTTAAGCCTGCATCGAAAAACATTGATTTCATGCGAGAGAGTAATTAAACTTTGATGGAAGACACAAGATAATGGAACCTAAAATTTAGGAAAATTTTCAATACCAGGTATTGGAGCATACAAAGATGATGTTTACGCTATAAATAGATTATTGCAATATTAACATTCATTTCCTGATTTTAATAAATAATCACACAAGTATATACTTCTACTACATGTGCCCATACATAATCATGGTAGAAAATTTCCACCCAAACAGCATATTGAAGTACATCAACCCAAACAATCGAAGGAAAAAAACAAATGAGGTAAAAGTAGCAAGAGCATTAACAAAATAGAAAGCAAGCAATTCTATTGAGATCACTTACCTACACTATTTTCTAGCAGGCAATATTATTTATTATTTTCTATTCTAGATTCGACAACTGAAATTGTCTGTTTGTAATTGATTCATGCGAAAAGAATAAATAGAGTTAGTTATTTGAATCATATAAATTATATTATTAGGGTTTAAATTTGGATCATTTTGTCAGAATTTTTCTATAAGAAATTTCCAGAGCAACAAAAAGTTTTATATGGACTTATCAAGGAAGGGCGACAGTTATAAGATTGCATGCATATTATTCAGACTACTTTATAGATTTTTGATTAGAAAACGAAATCACTTAAAAGTTGAAACAGTTACCGGTATGTTTTTTTTCAAAGCAAAATTCCAAATATATCACTCCTGCAGAGTACATAACTAATGTGAAGTTTTACATTCTATTTAGGAAAAATCAATTATAACAATCCAAATGTTGAGCATAACTATCTGATATTTCACTACTTTATTTAATTAATTATCAGATCAATTAACATAAACAAGAAACATAACACTGGATTAGTTTTTGTTATCAATGTCAATTTAATAAATATTTCACACAACATTGTTTGAAACAGATATTACTTGTTTGTTAGTGGATCTCAATAAAAAGGAAAGGAAATCCCACACTCACAAGTCATACCATCCTCTGTCACACTTTCATCACCCTCCACAATAACACTTTCACCCTCTTTCACTGTACCATCCCAGTTGAATTCCATATCCCCGAAGATGAATTTGATTCGCTCGCTTGCACTTTCTTGTGTCGATGGTGAATGAATTGCATTTTCCATGATGGATTTTGCAAATAAAGCCCTGAATAAAAAGATATTACTTAGTGAAATCAGGATAAGAGACTATCAGCCAATGAGATGATGATGAGATATCATTTTTATCCCAGATAAAAATAATCCCGATAAAACTGCCTAATCACCATGGCCTCTCGTCCAGTTAGCAGTCTATGTCAGGTATGGAATTAGCCAGTTATTTACATCATTTTTATCCCTACAGGATTTGTACCTGCGACCCATGCAGTGTAATCAGAAGTTCAACTACATAGCATCATTGGCCACTCAGTACATCTTAGGGTACTCCCGTAATTTGTGTACTAGGTTAGGGTTGGGGCATAATTTTATTCCGATTTTCCTTATTTAAGTTCTGTTACAAGTTCGGCGACTGTCTGTGTTAGCCAAGTGAATATACCCCCTGCGCATAGCTTCCAGTCCCTCTACACAACTTGATGTAAAATGGGCGAACAAAATTAGGTACGTCCATATTGGTACAAATACTTCTGGAGCGCCCATCTTAGAAATAATGGAGGGGTATAATAATGAACAGACAAGTACTTAAATTTTACCGCAACGATTCTGGAGCTGTTTCCTTAGCTTGATCAGGATCTGCTGGTCCCATCATATTTCGTAATTTAGTTACAGCATCTTCCGCGGACAATACCATCATCAATGTTGGACCGCTAGTCATATGGTCAATTAACCCATCATAAAACTCTGCTCCTTCCTATAAATGACCATATTTTTTCTTTTAGGTTTGTATCCAAAAAAATAAAAACACTGATAAAGCATGAGAAAATTGTTATATTCTAGATACCTAATAAACAAAAGTTAGATAGTGTCTTTCTCAGAAATATTATTCTTGGCGCTATACTATTTTTGGTATATTTTTTAATACCTAAAGTACTCTTACTTAATCTTAACTGCATTGGATGAAAATCACGGCATATAAATGGTAAAAAATATCATTCAAAGGTTACTGTAAATTGCAGAAAATTAGGAAGCATGGCTATAAACGAAAAACATAGAATTTACTATAAATAGCAATCCTAAAAAACGATGAAATGACAATCGACAGAAATTGTATTCTTACTTTTGATTTATATATTTCGTTTGCAATCTCTTTTGACAAATTCATGTCTTTTTGGCATGAAATCATGAATCCAGCTTCCTTCAATTTCTCCATTATGGCATCTGATGACAATGTTAATGAAATGAGAAGTAAAAATAATACTAATCATACTATTTAGAACATATCAACACCTCCATCGGCACAAATCAAGTAAAAGTTTTTTGATATTTCAAGTCCTCAAATCTAGATTAGAGAAGATACGGCCGATAGCTTTTATTAAGCCCTATGCTGACCGTTGTGCATTAGGTGTTATCGTTCACCATTATGGTTATGGTGACCTTCATGATCCTACAATATACAGAAAAATCATAGCATATACTAAATTGACCACATAATAGTAACATCATTTCAGACTACATGCCTCTTTTATCCATGGCATCAGGTTTAATTACTGCAAGAGTTTGTTGAACATTGAATATATTTTTCAACTCGTCTTCTGCTGTTTCTATACTGTCACTACCATGCAACATATTCACTGGCGCTTCTTCCACATGGAACTGTGCTCTATAAAATAATATGAAGTATAAGTGTTCTTTTAATTGAGAGAAAGAAATTTTGTTCATTTTTGAAATAAAAAATGAAAGCCTTCATTACAACAGTTATATTGTGATATTGACTTTACCTCAAGCTATCAGGTTGTTGTTCAATGGCTTCTTCGACTATCTTTGGACCAAGCATATCTCTCCATTTACTAATAGCATCTGAGTGAGCAAGACAGAGTGCGAGTACTGGACCACTGGATAAAATAAATAAAGCAGTGTTCGAAAGGGCCATTTGTAAATGAATTTGTAAAATAGTAGTGAGTGATTTATTTAGTTGATAACATATTGAAGGATTCATAGAAAAATTACTCATTCCAAGAGTGGTAAACAATTGGCTATTTGAAGCTCTTGTTATTAATTTTATCCTGTTGGCGAAAAAGGTTATATATAATATGGTTATCAAAATGCATAGACTGGAGCAATGGCGTGAATTCGAGCAATCCCCACGGATAATTATTGCTACGGACATGTAGAGATTAATCAGGGTATTAACTATATTTATCCCAAATATGATGTTTGTTATGAAAATTCTAATATTGGCACTTGGCAGTCTTATGAAAGTTACAGCAGAATGCAATAAAGATGACTTTTAAAAAGAAGTATTAGGATACCTTGTCATCTGCTGTACAAGACCCTCAAAATAATCTTTATCTTCATGATCTTTATAAAAAGCTTTGGCCTGTTCTTCTGTAAGTTGCATTTCTTTCAGCATTGATATTTCGAATCCTGCTTCTTTAATCTTCTCCATAATTGCATCTGTTGAAAATATGAGCAATCAGTAAAAGATCACATCCATTTTCTAGTCTTTATGTCGTTCAAGCATGGTGCATGAATAGCCTAATTATGCAGAACAACCCTTCAGAAGTATCTTATTGATAATGTATTTTTTCACTTCAGATATTTTGGCTAACTTGCTATGCTTCGATATGCTATCTTTGACTACAATGACTTTTTCATACTTGTCCTGAGAATATGATAAATACAATTTTCAAGAATGCGACATAAGAGAATGTTTCTGATACTTGACACTGTCCTTTCTTCATTTGTTCAACTCTATAGTTGACAATGATATGGGTGTCTTTTACCGTCATTTTGACTTATCAAAATCACACCTTTATGTTTCTTCAATGCATCAGGTCTTATGATTGCCAGCGTTCTCTGTAACTGCTTTCTTCCTCGTGATGATTTTCTGCTACGTGCAGATGCTTTGCTTCTTGCGCTTGGAGCAGCGGATGCAGCACGATAAGTCGGTGGTTCAAAGTCAGGGAAGAAAAATCCAAGTTCTCTAGCAGCTTCTTCTTGTGAACTAGAACCGTGCAAAGCATTTGCTTTTGCATCAGTGCCATAAATTGCTCGAAGACTGAAAAATGAAACAATGACATTCAGAACAAGAAAGCAAAGAACAAATACGCACATAAATCTTTAAATATGAATGTAATGCTTGATTTTGGAATGCAGTTCACTTTATGTAAACCTGAAGATACTATGCCTGATCACGAGGTCACCACTCACCAACTTGAAGGAATGAATAACTGAATATTTGAAAGAGATTGAAAACCGGAACCAAAAAGTGAAATAATTTTTTGTCTCAGTATGGAAAACAAGATAGATAAATGCACTTTGTGAAAAAACATGAAAAGAATAAGAGCATTTTATACATTGCTAGTCTTCTTAGTGGTATACTAATGTCTATAGGCAGTGGTATATCTCCGTAAAATGGCGCAAGTTTAAAAATGCAGCCCTTTGATAGTTGACTGACAATTTTTACAGACTGTTGTTGAATTGAGATAATCGTACATTATTATTTGAGTAAAAATAAGTGATCAAGTTATTTCCAGGAAATAATTTACGATTTGAACTTTTTGCCCTTTTTACACCCCTCCCCAAACGATTGCACGAGCCTTGACTGCCACACTCTAGATGCGCCACTGTCTGTAGGTGGAACAAAGTATGAATTGGCCTTTTTAATCACTTCCAAATGCATTTCCCATAAATGAAGTAAATATGCCTGAATTATACTAGAGACTGAAATTATACAAACACAAGCAAACGACAGTGATGATATGGTGTTCAAACAATTTTCATTTTTGGTTCAAAGATGATCTAATTAGACGATTCAGTTATAAAACAGACCACCCCACTAATCCAGTTACAAGGATGGGCCAGATATGGAATTATCTTACCAGGCAATGATTTTAATTTCATGGACATATATGAAGTGACAAAATTTACCAATCAGAAATTTCGTTTGCAATAGCCAAACATACTGGAATGCTGAAAAACTAAAAACATACCTGTCTGGATTTTCCTCTTTTGCAACTGCAGCATCAAACGGTCCAATAATATCCCTCCATTGTTCGACCACTCCCTCTCCTGATCCACTCTTTGTTAAGACAAGAACACGACACGGCCCACTAACTACATAGGATATCAAGTCATCGAAATATTCCTGAAATGAAATAAAATTATATAGACAAACAAATAGAAAGTCAAAGTACAATTTCCAAATATGGATACAATTCTAAATTAAATATCTTGCCCAATAAGTAATGATTTGATAAACGATATTTGAGTCACTGACGAGTGATATATTATATTTTAGAGGAACACGATATTTCTGCATGCATAGATAAACAAGCATGGATGGATACATCAGAAAATATGATTATACTTTGGATCATGCACAAAGTGATTCTTGAATAACGGTTCAACTTTGAGAAATTTACTTTTCAGTTCATTAGATAAATATATTATTAGGATTGAAAAATATTGTCATTACCTCGTCAGCCTTATTTTGATAGAATGCTTTCGCTTCATCTTCTGTCATTACTTTTTCTTCATTTGCTAAAACTTCTATACCAGCTAAATTGATCTGCGAGAATGTAACAGGTTATGTTAAAATTCCAATTATGCTCATGAACCATTACAAAAATATGATTTTCCAATTTACCTTTTCTATTATTTCATCAACTTGTCCATTTGCTACGACATCAGGCTTGATAAGAGCAACTGTGATCTGCTTTCGAACTGAAATAAAATCACACAAAAAATAATTACTTTCTTGAAACTACTTTACTGTTATTCAAATTTTCGAAACAAATGCATATTGAATGCTACAACGGTGGAATATTGGGGGATTGAGAGTGACAAAAACTTAATTAGGATAAGATTAGATTATCTTAACATATTCCAGGGTAGAGAAAACTCGATGAGACGAATTAATCACATGACAAACCTCGGCCTTTCATCTGCTCACCAATGCATATTAGGTATGGTAATTGTTAACCAGTTATTAGTTTCCAATGTATGGTCTTGATGGTGGAAGAAGCTGCAACCAACCAGCGAATACATAAACCACCCAACAACAACTAGGAGTCTTTCTTCCATACACCAACTATACTAGCAGTTCCCATATAGTATAATAGAAATCAGGATTAAACCAACCGACAACTTCTCCTTCCTCTTCACTCTCTTTATCCTCTTCATTTTCAACTTCTTCTGGTTCATGAATATCCTTGATCTAAATGTCAAACATAGTTTTAAAATAAAGTCACTTCAAGAAGCAGAATTGCGACTGATTCGTGAATTACTTATCGTATTCAGAGAAGTCTCAAAATAGTTATTAAAATAAAGCAGATTAAATTGAACAAATGTCAATTTTCGATGGGTAAGGGGCAAGACCTGTTCACATACAACGTGAAGTAAAGGGGATCAAATTGAGCAAAAGAGTGAATGTTAGGTGATAAACCTAACTTTAGTAGATTTATAGTTTTTAATGAAAACATAAATATAAAAGCAACATTTAGGGTGGAGTGGGGTATATGGAGTTAATTGAGTAGATTGTATATAAATCTCGCTAATGTTTTTGTATGTTGAATGAATGATTTGTCCTTTGTAGTAACTAGATTTCATATCTATCCTATTGTTCCATTTGTATATTTGAAAGTTTTTTTGCACTTTAGTGTCCCAGGGATATTTTGGCCCAGGGAAAAATTTTATTATGACTCATTGTCTTTTTGTTTTACGGATGTTTGAAAAATTGAGTCTACTGGAGAGTTACCACGTTGTAAATCGAGAATATGGCCTTTTCCGCTGTAATAACACAGGATTTTAAAGTGCTGTGTAACTATTTTCCCTAATAAACATGCCCTAACACTTTTTTGTAGCCGGTAGCGTGTGGATTTTTCAGTAAAGGATACTATTTTTTATATATAAATTCATAATGGGCAATCGAAGGATTTTGAGCAAGCGACTCAATTCCTGTAAATGGAGAGTTAGTAGATCGTTAGATTAAATTTCAATTTTCAATAGTAAAAATGAGAGCTGGCAGGTCAGAATTAGATTTGGCTTTACTTGACGACAAGTCAGAATATGAAACAGAATCCGAGGAAAGTAAGCTCACATATTCCAGCTGATTTTAACAGAAAAGAATAGGAGAAAATAAAAGAAGTCAGGAGTGTCTTCTGACTATAAAGAAGTCAAGACATTCCTTGGTCATGTCCTCACCGATGTGTATATAATGAACTTTGTACAATACCAGTCCATGGAATAGCCCAGACGATTAGGTAGTTTTTGCTTTACTCTAAAATAGAGACATGGGAAGCATCTCTATTAGGGAAGTTGTTTCCATTGAAGAAGAAGTTAACTAGCACTTGAACTGAATATCCATTTGTAATAAGGTAAGTAAATCATGAGTTTAATAATAATTACCGTAATAAGTTTATGGTAACCATATTTGTGATCAATCGTTTCGAATTTTAATGTGGTGATATATAACTTTGTTTCAAAGTTTTTAGAAACAGTTTTTAATCGCACCCTTTTAGCTTTAATTTACTGGTGGATGTCAATATACTCAATTATTCTAAAAAAAAATCAGGTAAATTGAATATACAGACTTTTGAAAAAGAATTTACTTTTTATGACGACTTAAATACATTGAATAGAATGTTACAATAAAACCATAATTCCAGAAAGAAATTTTTTCTTCGCTCACATTTTACACCAAAAACGACTCAAATAACCCCTTACTCAATTTTAGTGTCTTGAGTCTACAGCCATGATTTTTGCTTCAGAAATGGTTCACGGTTAAAAAAGGTCGGGAAACGCTACTCTATTCAGACAAGGCTAAAAATGACCAAGTAAACTGGTCTGAACCATTATGATTCTTACTCGAGCTCAAGATTATAATAATAGCAAATGTTATTATAAATTGTGTGCACAAAGTAATTGAGTAGCAGAAACAAGTTGATTTGAATAATTGAACTACAGGTTTCCATTACTTACTAATATACTACAAAATCATAGAATCAAAAAACCATAGTTAAATGTGATTCACGGATCAGGTATAGTCATGTATGATCGTTTAATCACTCTACAGATTAGTCTGAATAATAAAATCACTCACAACTTTTCTCTCAGCCTGCCCTTCTAATACTTTATGTTCCAGTTTCAATGTTTCAACAATAGTTTCTTGCAGTAAAGGCGCATTACACCCTCTGACATAACCAACCAATTGACCATGCTGAAAAATAATTTAGCAAAAATGAATGTGCAATTTCTTGTATTTAAAGTTATACTATCAGAACCAGAAATGAGAATGGAAGATCATGTGAAATTTTTAAAATAATCAAATCTGATTACATTAAATATTAAAACATGAAAAAATTGTACACTCACTCCATAGAATAAAAACATAGGCTCACACTTCCCTCTGTATGATTCCAATGCAGGAATAGAATCTGCCTCTGCCTGAACACAACAATTTCGAAGCATTATTAATAAACAATTATGGATAAGAAAGTTAAACTTGGATAAACTGATTAGACATTAGATAATTGCTGATAAAATCACTTACTGTTGCAAATTTTAAATGATCATCACCCATTTCATTTTTGATTCTTTTTAACATTCCTATGATTGCTTTGCATGGTCCACACCATTTTTGATGAACATCCACAACTGAAAAATTGTTATGAAAAATGAATTTTACAAAGCAAATATAAGGCTAAATGCCCCATATAGATATGTAAGCATGTTGCAAAACACCGAATAAAATTTAGACAAAGAATATAAAGAATCCATCTCAACATTTGTGTAATGTTTTATTATTTGTAAAAAAAAAATAAATTGGGTATATTTGTGGTGACTTCTACTTCTACTTTAGATAAATTTTGTAAGGAAAGTAATAAATTTCAATTGAGACGTATGAGGAATGAAAACATCCAACAAAGCAACCTCTCATTACCCTTAGTGAGTTCACAGGTTTAAATCCTGTTGAGGATAATCTACCGCTCACATACAGACATAGGGTGTTTCATGTAACCGATGGTCAGTTACGACTTCTCTACCATCAAGTTTATGCATCTTGAACAAATAATTGGCCAACTGTTTCCATACCTGACATGGAATAGTAAACATAAAACTGTGGTTCGCCATATGATTAAGCTGTCTTATCTCCTTCCCTCTCCCTCGGGATAAATATGTAAATCCTATCTTAATACAGTCATATGCTAACTCTATATAGAACAGATGCAAGCTGCATCAGACTATTAATCTTGTTTTTATGAAATGCTGAATTTATTCAATTCAATAATAAATACAATCAAGTTGATTGATTGATTAACCTACCATAAAGATTCTCTTTGGTCATTGCGTCTTCCCATAGTTGAGGTGTGTTCAATATTTCCTAAAAATATCAACATATATCAGTACATAGCTAAGCACTGTCACACTGTACCTGCCTACGACTATCATTCCCTGACTAATGTACTGATTTATGATCATAATATAGGTATTGTTGTCAATTCAGATGGCAATATGTACAGTACTAACTCAATAATCAGTTGATAAGCCCCCGGACTACAATACAAGGTAAAATACCCGGTATACAGACTTTTCGGCGTATGATTACTGAACGACGTAAGTACTTCTATTGGGGGTGGCACAACCATTTTTGCATATGTTATTCCTTACCCCCACCTGGCTCAGCCATCTAAAGATTATGTCACTACAACGTCACAATCACAACAAAGAGCTTGCCAAAGTATTGCTATGATCGCCCGAAATGGTATCTTTGCCAACGATAACGAACTCACTTATGCCAGTGATCTTTCTCATATCGAGGCCGTTTCGACAAGGAAACAAGAGAAATAAATTGCTCAATTTTAGGTAATTATCTGCGCGTCTTGGATGACAGTCAGTATAGTCGTTTGGAGGGCTTTATTAACTTACTGTGATGTCATAGTGACATAATATTTACATTGCGTAGTCAGTTGGAGGTTAGGAATACCATATGCAAAAATGGATGTGCCACGCCAACTAAAAGTACTTACGTCGTGTTTGGAACATGGCCCGACTTTTCACCCTGCGAACTTTTCCGACTACAAGACTTCTGAGTTACGATTTTGTTTTACATTACTTTTGGGAGTTGTTCAAAAACAATATTATATAAATAAATGTAAGTTAGATTTAGGATAGGATTTTACCTACTTATCCCAGGGTAGAGGAAAGCTGAAATTGAAAACTGGAATTCGAATTCATAGCACTAACCGTTATATGTCACTTAGTAATTGGGGAATCTGACGAATGAAACGTCGTCGAAGTATAATTTAAAATTTGAATATCACAACCGGTAGACCACAGTCTTTGTGTGAACGATAGAATATATTTTACCTGCAATATAACTTCTTTCCGTTTCGCCATTTCAAATAACCTGTATGAAGTTTCTTTCTAACGTTGAATATAAAATGGACTCACAAAACAACAGAATCATATACGGTACCTCTGTGAAGCTAGTTATGGCTACTAGTTACCTTGGTAACGACAGTTGCCGCCACCTTGTGTGATAAACACGAACACGAATGCGAGGTATTTTTGGATTTGCTTGTTATGTTGTTGTTGAAATTCTTGATATTTATTGGTCACAAAGTGGCTTTATAGATCGTTTTGTCATTTTGTATTTTAAATTGTTGTTGGTATCAATGTTATGAAAAAGCGCTTTTCTTATGAATTTCTGGACTAAATGCTTTGAAATTTTCAGTGGCTAAGAATTGTATTTTCCGTTCGAAGGTTATTAAAATGTTAAAAATTAAGGGAGGAATTCGTTTTTTGTGTGCCATTAGGCAGTGAACACTGAAACTTAGCTAATAGACACTAAATATACCTACCGATTGTATTGTTGAATTGTTGTTGACTGACATATTTGGGAAGTCAAGAGTTGATTTCTTATTTTGTTCTCTGTCTACTCTACTCTATTTTGGATTTCTCTACACATGCAAATTTATGAGCTGGCTACTTGTTATCCATGCCACGGACATACTATGCAAATCCTCAAGTCCCATGTTTTCCAGTTAATCTGATCTGGTTTATACTTATGCAATCATAGACTATTGCATTTTATTACTAACAACTATGTTTCAGTTCATGCCATAGAATGTTGTGTAAATATATATTAGTTAAAAATTACTATTTGTGTGTTGTGAAATTTGCATAGGATGTTATGTCTGGTTTGTATGACTCCACATCAAACAGAGATGCTTATGACAATACGAGATTGACTTAAAACGGAACAATAATAATAATACAACTATCCAGATTCTAAATATTGCTATTTTGTATAGTAGAGATCTTCTGGAATTCTGAATCGAATATCTGTTCAGTTAAAAAAATTCTAGTTAAAACTTAAGCGCTTTATATATAAACTCTGATTAGTTTTCCCATGTTGCATTTCGAATTTTTGTTAGATAAGATTGGTCCCTGGTATATTAATATGTATATATTATATATGGTATATTTCACTTTATACCTTTGTTTTAAGTACAGTAAGCCTATATATACTTGTGTCGTGTATTTCCTGCGAATTACCATTATCCCCTTACATAATACGACTTTAAAATTTTGCAATTCTTCGCCACAGAAATCAACATTGAAACAAAATGCAGAACGGAATCGGACATTTTCACTTTCAAAAAAATAGACAGACTTAATATAAATTCGATAGAACAAAGCAACACTAGAAATCTCGAGATATCAAAGTGTCTGCAGCATACCAACTGTTTTCCTTCTTAAGGTAGCAAAATATTTTTTAAATTAGTTCCAACAAGATCAGTTTTCGATACCTAAATACCTAAAAAATACAAAATTTTCATCTTCAACAACCTCATGCCAATAACAATTCTAACCGTGTACCTACAAATACTAAACCTAAAAACGTCGCAAATTTGCGCTAACTGCTACATTTTACAAACCTACGAACTGAAAAGGTAAATTGGAACAAATAATGCTCAATAGTGTCAGAATTTGCGTTCGGCGGGAAAAGAGATTTTCTCCTTATTTCTAGTTTTGTATTCAACAATTCGCAGAGTGGGGAGATCTTTAAATTTAACACAGGACGTATGTATCAAATTTATTAAGGTTCATGAAGTATTGGTTAGGATTTGTTATGCTTCTTTCAATCCCCATATATATACACGTTCGTGTAAATAGAAAAACTCTTTCCGTGTTGTGGATGCCCGTTGCACCATCTGAAACCATTTTGTAATAACTCAGTTCCATTTCGGAGACGAATAATCTGATATTACAAGAAAGAATTTGAACAATGTTTTGAATGATATTCACTGCTATATTGGCACTGTATGTCAAAGATCTCAGTTTCGAGTCTAGGTCAATCCGGTGCTCGTTACATCAACTACAATTAAATAAATTGTACAGTCTGTGTCGATATAGAAAAGAAAACTTTACTTGCAAACTTAATATTTTTCCACTGTTACAATTAATGATTCCCACTCAATATATACTCATAAATTATTCACTCATAAATAAATGATTTATGGGACGAAAGTCATTTGGAAGAAGGAACTTTAATATAGAATTTTGGACGTCGATATCTGAAATATACTTTTTAACAAAAAAGAACGATTTTTTGATGTCATCGCATCACAACTAACATTTTTCAAATTACCACGAACAGGGATGATGAAAACGATATGTATACTTGGTGATATAATGACAATGCTTATACATATCTAACTTACAATAATGTCCTATATATGTCACGCCTAGCGCCCAACTTGTTGTCACGAAACAATGTCATTCATTACGTCGTCCATATGAATTTGGTTGTATATATTTGCCAGTTCTGCACCTAAATGTTGACATATTACGATCACTGATGCTCTCACTTTTTTACATGCCCATGGTATATTCTTGCCCCATAGCGCACAATATCTGTAATTTAAAGCAGAAATGGTCAAGTCATGTGAAATGAACTTTATGTAATATGTGTTATCACCTATTAGCATATCTAGTTAACTGTGATGCTTTATGCTACTGGGATCGACATGTGAATTCATCTGGTTTGAATTATGGATATTTGTTCACAACACGGAAATAAATAGATAGGAGGGACACTTGATAAATCCACTTATTTTGATTTAAAATAATTACAAAAAAAAGTTTTAATAATTCCCCATTGATTCATAGGAAATGAAATAAATCAGTGAAATAACAAGAAATGCAAATAAGAATACAGATCGAAATTGAATACCCCCGAACCTTTCACAATCCTGGGAGAACTCAAGAATCCCGTATAGGGTAAGGGCTATTTGTGCGCGATAGGATCAATCGACTTGTAGAGTGGTTCAAGTAACTACAGCATCCATTTCAAGCAAATACCTGGTCGACTATTCCCATACCCGACAGGAAATGGCGAACTCTTGAAAAAACCTCAAAGCTCATGAATTCAACGAATGACCGAAATATTGTCAAAATTGAGACTTTCTACTGCTGTTTATATTTGTTACGTCTCTATTTTAATGATTAAACTATGGCACGGTCCTATGTCAAACGTATCGCGCGGGTCTTAGTATAGATAAATATAAGAATAGGACCTGAAAATTTAGATTTTGTAATAAAGAATGAATTCAAACTTTTCATTTAAAACCCGTTAACTGAGCACAAAATCACGATTAAAGTAATCTTGTGTCCATTGCATTTAGCGATATCTTGCATATATCACCAACAATATGTTCTCTACGTGGGTCACACTAAACGGCCCCCAAAATGAAATAAAATAAAAAGAATCAGAATAAACACACTGACCTATATAAATTATCATAATAATTAATTTTAAACCTTGAATTGATATTGCTGTGGGGCCAATTACTACGCATTTTGCGAGTACAAAAAGGGCATATTCATCTTATTATTCATTTATTCCAGACATTTGAAACGTTTATACCGAATGCCTGAAAAACACACCAAACGACTGCTAACAATGAACTAGGTCCTATATAGTTACTAGGACATGTAGGCTAAATACTGCAGTGGCGGCGCGTGGTCATTTTGACAACCGGGGCAAGCTACTGCGGGACCAAGTCACCCCCATCTACGGGGACTGGATGAGCGCTGTAAGTTCTCCCATCATTTTATGAGTATAAAAACCATTCCATCGGTAACAACCAATCGGCAAAAGCGACAATTTTTAACGATAAGAAAGTGTCTTTAAAACCGGTCCAAGTCAAGGGATTAATAAATATAGACATAGTTTATTTTGAAACCTCTTTCAAAAGGAAAGGCAATATTTACCCAGATAAATACAATGACATATTAACAGAAACTTCGGGAAAGCAGACAAAACCTGAAATAAGGTTTAAAACGTTACTATGAAGAAAGGAAAGGTAATGCAAAGATAAGGACATGCGTCGCTCACTCATAGATATATATGCTGCTAGACTTCTACTGCTTGAACATACTCGTATATGCAACACGCCGCGGTTTCTTGGAAGCAAATTGCTCAATAACGCGCTGATTAAAGTCATGCATCCCAGAAATAACGTCTCTGTGAATGGATAAAACAGCCAAGGAATTTAATCTATCTTGCTTCATTGTGTTTCTGAGATACGTTTTAATACGCTTCAGCGTGCTGAATGTTCGCTCTGCGTCGGCTGAAGAAATAGGCGTCGTCAAAATGATGTCCAGAAATTTTGCAGACGCCGCAAAGATAGTTACTAGAGTGTTATCTATGAGGAACCCATAGAGCGCGCAAGTTGATGTGATGTTCAAAAAAGTTTGATTGATGTATATACATCGCAATTCATTTTCCAATTTACCCACGTTTATCATGGGGTAAAATTCGGAGACAGTAGCCAACAAATGGATGGGAAATTGACGTGCAAATTTTGAAAAATTTTTGGGGTTCATCAAAGAGAACGCGGCAAGGTGTTCAGTGCGCAGACGATCGCCTATTTGATTCACCAGAATGCCACAGCATTCCTTTGCAGACAAAATCAAACGCTGCGTTGTTTGCCCGCGGCGTAAAGAAGCACTCCATGTGTCGTCGTATTCTATTGTTTCCCGGATACGAGATACAGCATCGCAGAAGTCTGAAATACACGACTACACAGACGCTCCATCCATTAGCTTTGACTGCAATGCGCCGTATAATACATCCACGTGATAGAATATTGTGGAGAAAAAAGCGAGAAAAAATGAAAACTCACCATCTTTTAGCGGTGACCGTACATTTGAACCCATGTACATTTGAACCCATGCGTATATCCACGGGTTCAATCTATACGCGGGTGCTAAAACCCATGGGTTAGAGTTAGTATGGGTTTAACTATCCGTGAAACAGAAAAAAATTCCATAGGTGCAATAGCATACAGGTGCAATTGTCATGGGTTCAAATGTACGTGGGTTCAAATGTAATGGAACCTCTTCTAGCAGACGCTTTAGACCTGCCGCCTCCCTCACAGAGCGTTCGTCCCAAACCGGAGAGCTCTGAATGCCATTGAAACACTCAATGAGCTCAGACCTAATT